ATCTGAAGATAGAATCAGAGAATCATAAATATTAAAACTAGTAAATATCTTACAGATAATCCAATCCACCTATTACACTTGTAGGAACACTGTTGATGGATTGAGACACCAAATTGAGTAAGAAAACACAGAAGATAATATTGACAGATCTAAAAAAAAACAGCTATTGTAATTCATATATACACACACATATATAAACATCATTTTATATATATGCATATGTGTTTACTTATATTTATATATATCCACATTCACGTTTATTATATTATGCTACTTCTAATTTTCTATTGTGTTTAAGCAAGTCATTTAATCTGTCTATAATCTTGGTTTTCTAATCTTTCAAATGTGGTTGATGATAAATACTTTGTGGAGTCATAATGAGGATTAAGTGTGTGTATGGGTGTGTGTGCATGTGTATATTACTTGATTCAGTGTATGTATAACACGACACAAGCAGGGCATGAAATTGATATTATCTTGTGACTATTTGGTTTCTGATTTTGAAGATGTCACATAGGTATCTGATAACCCAGAAGCAGAAAGCCTCATTTTCTTCTGCATGTGTACCTGAAGAAAGTATCACATCTGGCATATCTATCTCAACTGAAATCGTAAATCTGTAAGCCTTTGAATTGTGCTGACACTCAAGTGGTCAAACAATTTCTAAACTGCTCTAATTATAACTTTGATTATAATTCGATCTTCTATAATCAGCCAATTTGGCAGAATTATTTAAAGAACGATAAGTATGTATAATTCCAGTAAAGCCTACTTGTACTTAAACCAAAAAGCCTGTCTTGGAATGGCTGGAAAATTGTAGTAGAGAGGTAGCCAGGACCCTAGTAACATATTTATAGCAAAGAGATACAGTATCTAAAGTTAGTCTTAACTCCCTTCCAATTTGAGCAGAAATCCTTGGCATGAAACAATTTTTTAAAGTATAGAGCGGAGTCCTCTATCATTAAAACAAATATGCTTTAAATCAATTATTTTGAGGAGAATAGCTGTTCTAAATGAATCTGGGCTATGAAAGAGACATTTATATGACAAATTATTTAAATTACTAGCCAATTTTTAACTTCTGCCTATAGTTCAGGTGTTTTGTTTAGATAGTAGCAGGCAACTGGATTCTGGGAAACACTGGGTGATAAGCTTCTATTTTCTTTCTGTTTTTCTTAAACTTTTTTGGTTAATGGTTGCCTCAGGGTAACCTCTCAAATGTGAAAGGTAGGGTAGCCCTGCCTTTCAAATAGTCTACCTAGTCTACTTCAGGATAGATTATTTGAAATGTTTTGGTTCTAACTAAAGCAATTCAGTATGCTGAGGAAATAAATTTTTTTTCTTGATGATACCAGATGAAGCATTTAGAAAAATAGGGAATAGCAAGCTTGTCTGTAGAGATTAATTCTGTAATCAAATAGGGGTATATTGAAGAATCAAAATATTTCTTCTACATGTATAGTCAGCCTGTTAAAGAACTATGTGAAATAAAATTATGGAATATAAACACTTTAGCAGCTCATAAGAAACATCACTGAAAGCATCTTTGTTTAAGCAACAGCTAAAAATAGAAAATATTTATAAACCTTTAACTGTATTTTGTTTTCAAAACTTCAGAATGAGCTCTTCAAAGTAAGGTTTAGATGGATCATCAAAAATTCAATCCAATTTATTTCTGCTCAATCTATCCTTGAAAAATGATTCTTTATTACTCTAAGCATATTACAAAATCTTGTTTTATTTTAATAAAATAAAAACATTTCTTGTTTCACTTATTCTTATTTACTCTAAATTATTCTCTATGTTTTCCTATTTTGTTTCTTTCCTTTAGGATATTTTTACTTTGAAATGGAGTAAAGTTACATTGAAACAGTTTATAGAATTGTAAGATTTGTTTTAAAATCCATGTGCATATATATGTGGAGTACATACAGTTTTTGAATAAAAGCACATACACATTTATATATGTATATGTTTTATTTTTTGCAGCCAATATCTTCTCATACTTATTGTGGGTGTATTATTTATACTATTTATTATGTTTTATTATATGTATGATATTCTCAATGATTTATATATATATAAAATTCTTGATGTTAAATTGATTCATCATTCTCAGCTGAACAATAAAGTATGAGTAATCAGAACAGCTTTCAATATTAAAGATGTTGATAAACTACTTTTCAAAATAATCAATATATGGGCTACTTTTCTTCAAAGTGAGGTCTAGGGTACTTGTTGAAAATATTCTTATCGAATATTCCTGTTCTCCACCCAAGACATAATGATTCAAAATCATTTAGTGTATAGTGTAGGAATCTCCATGTTGTAAGTTCCCTATGACAGCACAAGATATGTGAATGTTTCAAAAATTTTGAATTTCAGAAATTATTTCACTTATAAGAGGAGATATTAGCTATTAGTAGTCTCACTTTGGTGCTTTATTTTTCTCCTTGTTTTACTTTTGTAAAGACACAGACTAATAAACTTTGTTATTAACGACGGGGCAAACATCCTTTTGAGTTATATAAATAAAAAATCATTTTTAAAAATTTTTCTTCAACTTTCTAGGTGGTTCTGCTACTACTGTTTACCACAGAAGTATTATTCCATAGGTACTATTCTTTATGAGCTCCTAGTGTCTCAAATATTTTCCAGTTATTTATTGTCCTTCCTCAGGATAAGCTTTAGAGAGCAAAGCTTCCATTTACTTCCAGTCCTAATCAACAATTCAAATGACTTTTATTATGGGATTGTAGGAGACTGAAACTCTGATGATATTCTCTGCAACAAACAACAATGACTCCATTCCCTGTCACTACTGAGAAAATGTAAAAATTACCACTTTGGGGAGTTGCCTTTACAAATAGCTCATATTTTTTAGAGCTCTTTTAAAAAACTCATCTAACACAGTCTGTTACAAATTGAAAATTAAAATGTATCATCAAATTTACTTTTTATATGACATTGAAATGAAAAAGATGGCACTGTGGCAATAAGAACACATCTTAAATAGTATATTATTATGAACTAGAGTAAATTTAAACATGTTTTGGTTAAAATAGGGCTACTGGAGATAAAACACATAATATTATTAACTATATAGTTAGACAGTTGTTTACAAAGATGGAGATGAGTCAAAAAGAAAGACATTCCCTCGTGTCTTGTCTAGATTTTAATCCACAGGTTTCATTAATGGTAGAAATAGGGAAAAGATATTTTTCATTAGTAAGTAAATTAGAAAATAGACATTTTCTAATTTCTGAAACAAATTAAGTTTAACAGCAATCCACAAACTTAAATATAAAAATGGGTTCAAATTTTGAATCAAAAAAGGATTTTTTCAGGATTTCATGAAATTGTATTACATGTAAAACTGTTTCCAGTAAAAGGGCCTCTCCTATTTTGAGAGAGCTACTGAAATTTTATACTTCTAATGAAAATACATTGTATTTTTACAGTAAATTAGGAATTTATAAAAACTGCTGGAAGAGTTAAGCAGACTCTCTCTGCTTAGAAACTCCAAAGCGAGGCTTTCACTCCTTGTTTTGCTTGGGTCTCTTTATCATAAATCTTTATGTCTTATTACCCATCCTAGAGAAGAGGGGGCCAGAGAAGTTGACTAGATAGTTTCAACAATATGTTTTTTTAAGTTTAACCTCCATCTCTTTCAACTCCTTTTGTTACAACTACAATGTAAGATTGTTAACTCACAAAAAATGTTAGGAAAATGTCTTGATATTTTCTATAGCTAGTTTTTGTTTGGTTGTTTCTTTATATTGGTAGAATGTGAGAGGTATATTTATAGAACTTTATTTCAAAATGAAAGCATAGAAGAATGCAAGTAATGTAAATGTGGACCTCTGACATGCCTTTGGTCCTAGTTAGAAAGCTTGGAGCGTAGGGGAGGTGTTTAGGTAGGTAGACGACTAGTCAACTAAGCTGCATGGATGGTGACTCCTGTAATACTTTTGGCTCAAGGAAGTTCAAGGAAATTTAAATACCAGGCACTTCAGAGCACACACATTTTCAGGGTTTTCAGAGTCCAGTCTCCAGCCTTTCCTTTTTATCTATTTCGTGCAGCAAGGTTTTAAAGCATTAATGCATACTTCACAATTTTGGCATCACATTCACCTGGTTCAGCGTATTTTCCAACACTGCAGCAAGATCAACTCTTTTCCAGGCATACATTCCCCTATGCAATCATTTAACTACATTCTCCACCCTACGCCAAATAGTTCTCCTCCCATATCAAGGAGGAGGTAGAGGTAATCAGATCAGGGTCTTTAGATTTTATTAGTGCCCCGTGGCTTCATTGGCCTTCTGTCTGACTGTGTGGATACCCTATGTATATATAGAGACATTCTATCAGGTTAAACAAGCCTCTCTCCCTTTGGCCCCAACCAGGACTGCTGTCCCTGGTGCTGAACCATGTTTGCACAAGGGGAGTTGGTTGTCTGGTCAGTGGGGCTGGATGTAAAACCTGGCTGAGTGACCTTAAGAATGCCCGGTTCAAAAGCAAAGGATGCCTTAGTACACAGACACAGGGCCGCTCGCCGCCCCCTCCCCCAGCTCCCTCACACATATCCCTCGGGTGTGCGCCAGGACCCCATTTGTAAATTTCTTCTTCAGACCCCCACCCACAACGCTTGCAACATGGCCTCAAATGCTGGCGTGTATCAGCACAGCCCACTCAGACATCAGATTGCAGTAATGTCAAAATGCTACTCCTCAGATATTAAGTCATTATGAGGTTACCTTTTCCACTCTAAAGCCAAACAACAACAACAAAAAAAATCCAAAAAATTAATACATTAACAAAAGTGACCTTCCACTTTTCTCCTTCCAGTCCCCGCCCCATGTATTCACTCTCCCCTAAATTATAAAGCCTCACGTCCTAGAAGAGTGTTTTAAATCTGGGTGGTCTCCCGAGTTCCCCCTCCCCACCCCTTCCCCCCACCTCTTTAGAGCAAAACGACGCCAAAAAGGGCACATCTTACCCAGGATATAGCGACAGCAGGAGCAGAATCCACACCGTCATTTTCTGTGAAAATACAGGAGTCGAGTAGACTGAGCTTCCTGTGCTCCATATATTTGGCGAACTCATCGCTTTTTTTTTTTTCTCCTCTCGCCTCTTGCCTCTTGGTTGCAGAAGAATCCCTCCCCTTTGTATTATTCTTATGCTTATGATCTGATGGTGGCTCCCCCCATCTGCTTCTAGTAGGTCCCGTCACTGGGGAGATGGATTGCTACCAGCTTTGGGAATTAATATTCAGGGGGCAGAGATAAGATCAGCACAAACGCTTGCAGATGCCATCAAAGCGTCACTCTGGCAGCGGCTTCCAAGTCTGGGGGAGTAATATCATCGAGGCAGGGGGAGGGTACAGGGAGAGACTCACACGGAGACAAATAAGGGAGAGGGAAAGACGCGCACACTCCTGTATACTCATACCCCTCACACATACACGTTCTCCCCCAGGTCCATCGCTTTGGGTTTATCTAGCTGTTTGTTATGATTGTTTTTCCTTTTAGAGGGGGCAGTTCCCTGTGCGTGTGCGCGTATTTAAAATAAGCAGGAAAAAATCATTAAAGACTCTGCGTGATTAACTATCACGCCGATTAACTATGAGGTCAAAGTGGAAGTGATGCACGCTGCTGCAGCACGAATTAACACATGCGTGTTGTCTTTCCAAAGCTTTTTAACCCTTTACTGCACACACAAGCATGCGGGGACTGGCATTCATGGGGACAAGAGATGCTTTAGCAAGCCCAGAAACTACATCACCAATGACAGAAGGTTTTTAGTCGTCAGATCTGCCAAGAATCCTTATTTTAAACTCGTACAGTCTTAGAAATCATGGTTGCATTGTTAGAGCTGGGGGAACAGACAGTGGGGGAAGTGTGAGTGTCTCAGTAAGCCATCCTGTAGGCAGACAGATTGGTGAATTCAATTTGAATGAGGGAAGAAAACATTGATAGAGTTAAAAGACATGGAGAAATTCTATGCTACTCAGAATTCATTCCTCCCTTGTCCATCCTCCAACCCCAGTAATAATGTAAACACACAAAACTGCTTGAAGTTTGACAAATGTAATTGCATGGGGATAGCTGCTTGAGTAAAGATTACATACCACAATCTTTGTGGTAGAATGTGAAAGGGGGGTGCTTTTTGAAGGAAGGGTGGGCTAAGGGGTATAATCGGGGATCATTTAACAATGCAAAGGGATTTGTTTGTTAGGGGGTGGGTTGACTTTTTGCTCTTCTTTGTAATAATCCTGAAAGTTTATATGTTGGATGAGTGATATTAGCATGCTTCTTTCTTGCCTAGAATGTTACCATGGATACTAATATATAGAAGATACCCCTTTATATCAAACTGGTTCATTCACCACAGAGGAAATCATTTTCATTAGTCATGGAAAAGAAAGAGGGAGAGTGTTTCATGGTTCCTTAAATGCAAGATACCACCATGAAGGCGTGCAGGAAGCAGTACTGGTGATGAGGTCTAATCTGAGCCCTTTGTGCAAAGTGACAAGGAGTTGTCTCAAAATAAGTACCTTTCCTGCAAGAAAAAGGTCTTCCAAGAATGGAACTTGAGTAAGGAGTCCAGGAGACATAGGAATAAACATGAGAAAATCAGGTCTACACTCCATCACTAATACTAAAATATACTCAAAGAATGTAGGAAGAATTACCAGTGGCTGATGCTCATCACATGGACTGAGGAGATGCATTCTGACAACGAAGCAAAAACATCCTGACAGACCCACCTGGAATTCTGCATGGCTTTATAACTCTGCCTTAGGCAGAGTTATCCTTAAGACATTTAGACAAAAAATCCAATGAAAACCACAGTGCAGTGGTTTTTTTCAAGTGCAGTTTTCAAGTGGTTTTTTATTCAAGTGCAGTTTTGACTTTTTTTCTATTGGGATTAAAATGGAGGCAGAGTAAACATAAATCCCCTTTCTATGTAAATCTCTTTTTCTCTGCTGCACTGTGAAGGCATTTTCCTATTCTTTAATTTTTATTTGTTTAATTTAGAGGCAAAGTCTTGTTTTGTCAGCCAGCCTGGAATACAGTGGGATGATCACAGCTCACTGTAACCTAAAACTCGTGAGCTCAAGCAATCTTCCTGCCTCAATCTCCTAAGAAGCTGGGACTATAGAACTACGTCAATATGCCTGGCTAATATCATGCCCCTTCTTATATTCACAATTTTTTTAGTGTCTCTTTTTTTTTAAGTTATACTTTAAGTTCTGGGGTACATTTGCAGATCTTGCAGGATTGTTACATAAGTATACACATGCCATGGTGATTTGCTGCCTCCATCCCCCCATCACCTACATTAGGTATTTCTAGCAATGTCATCCCTCCCCACTCCCCACTATTTCTTTCCTAGCCCCCTGCCCCCCAACAGACCCCAGTGCATGATGTTCCCTTCCTTATGTTCATATGTTCTCATTGTTCAACACTCACCTATGAGTGAGAACATATGGTGTTTGGTTTTCTGTTCTTGTGTCAGTTTGCTTGGAAAGATGGTTTCCAGCTTCATCCATGTCCCTGCAAAGGACATGAACTCATCCTTTTAATGGTATGCACAGTATTCCATGGTGTATATGTGCCACATTTTCATATTTTTTTTAAAAAAAGAGCCTCGTTTGTTTATAGCTGTATATATTTTCTTACTGAAATTATTGAATCACACTTTTGTAGGCTAAGATATGTGTGCATGTATTTACTTAAGTCCCAACAAAACCCAAGAAAGTGAGATAAATGGAAAAGATTGGCAGGTTATGAATCAGTAAAGCGGTGGAAACCATGCACACTGAAGTGCCGATACTTCATCCAAATGGAGTTGCCACTGTTCAGTTCCAATCAGAATTGCCAGAAGAAATGGAAATTGATTTGCAGGGTAAAATGTTCTAATTTTTAAAATGCAAAGGAGGCCAAAATAAGCAGGCAGGCAGGCCATAAAGCTGCAATTTTTATAGATTATATAAAATATCTATATATGACAATTCTGTTACCATACATGACATTTCCAAATTTTTGTGTAAATTTCTCAAGTGAGTTTATTTATTGTCAACCATAACGAAGTTGTGAAAATGAATGCCATCACATTCACAAAGAAGTGATTCATGTATTAATCCCTTATCTTTATAAATTAGAAGCTATTGAACGTTGGAATTTTGCTCAGCATATTAAGAGAAACCACAGAGGAAATTTTACTATTTATAGTATCTGAGTACAAATGTAATTGTGCCATTCATAGCTAGTAAGCATCAGCATGCCCATCTTTCTTATCTGCTGACTGCTCTTTTAAAAAAGTATTTTAATATATTTTCTAATATATTACAACACATGTTATATTCAATGGTGTTTATAAGAGACCTAGCAGTTTCTTCTGTTATCACGTTTGAGCTATATTCTTGCCCATTTTTAAGATTGTAGTTCTAATAAATAAAATAACCATTATTCAATATACATGATGCTTATCTTCTAATTGCAAATTATATATATATATATATATATAATAGAGGAAGTACATAATAGAAGAAATATATATAATAGAGGAAATATATATTTTCCTCCCCATTACAAAGTTTATGTCTGAGATCCCAATGACAAAAGTTAGATTAACAATAGAAGGCATAAATATTTATTTCATTTAAGTTTTATGTGACATGGGAGCCTTTAGAAATGAAAGTTCAAAAGAAACAGGAAAAATTCTATTTTATGCTAAGTCAGATGAAGAAGTGGGTAGTTGTGTAGAAACATTATTGGACAAAAACAGATATGATCTAAAGGTCATAAGCGTGGGAACTCAGAGAGGCCTCCTAATTCAGATTCATCTCCATGTCTCTGTGTCTTCAGAGAAAAAGACATTGCTTTTCTCCAGGCACAGGGAGGACATCCCTGGGATTAGGACCTTATGACCTAATTTCAGGAGACAGTCAACTAGGTTTAATAGCCCACTGCTGGGGAAAAGGAGCGAAGGAAATTCTCTAAAGTTTTCTGTGACCTGATTCAGGAGAGAAGCAGGGCACAAGAAAGCCAGAAAGACATTCCTGCTTCTGTGGTCTTCTCAATGTCCTTCAGCTTAAAATCCTCACTATGCCAAGTTGCCATATATATATATATGTGTGTGTGTCTGTGTGTGTGTGTGTGTATTTATTTACTTATATTAACATTTGAAAAACATTGGAAAGCAAAAAGAAGAAAATTACCACCACATCTACTAATCCAAACAAGTCTTGCCAATATGTTGGAACATTGTTTTGCAAGTTAATTTTCTACGAATAAAGTTTTATTTTTGATTACAATTTGACATTGTATTATTACTACTATCTTGTGATAGTTTCTACACCCAGAAGTGAATTTTGAGGTTATAAGTTGGACAAGTTTTGTTGTTATCAAATCTCTCATTACTTAGAAAAGTAAAACATATTATTTATATTCTACTTCTTGTAGCAACAAAGTAGACTATTTATAGGTAATAATTATTACTGCTGGACAAAATATTAAATAAGCAAATATGTCAAGCAGTAGGATGCTGCTGAAAGGAGGCAGAAAGTGAAAAGATATGGGCAATAAGAGAGGAAATTGAGGCCAGGTGAGGTGGCTCACGCCTGTAACCCCCACACTTTGGGAGGCTAAGGAGGGCAGATCACCTGACATCAGAAGTTCAAGACCAGCCTGACCAACATGGTGAAACCTTGTCTATACTAAAAATACAAAAAATTAGCTGGGCATGGTGGTGCGCACCTCTAATCCCAGCTACTCAGGAGACTGAGGAAAGAGCATCGCTTGAACCTGGGATGGGGAGGTTCCAGTGAACCGAGATTGCGCCATTGCCCTCCAGCCTGGGCAACAAGAGTGAAACTCTGTCTCGAGAGAGATAGGAAATTGAATTGGATGAGATCTAAGATTTTGTGGCTTTTCCCCTGTGGAAACTTCCTGGTTTTAGCACAGGAAGTCCAACATCCAGGAAGTCCTTCCATCCTGGAAATGCAGGATGGTTACAATCAGCAGAAGGCAGCAATCTTACTGGCTTGAGGTTTAAGAGGAAACTTTGGGCTGCCAGAGCAGCTCACATGAGGAGGGAAATCACAGACAGAAAGATAAGACTCCACATGTGTATGTAAATTGCCCTTAAATTTCATTTGTTTTTACGTGGAAATGGAGAAAAGAAAACAAGAATCCCAGATGAAAGCAAAAATTGAGAGACTGAAAAAGTTGAGCAAATATTTCAGCTGCCACTCGCTGCAGGAGATACAGGATTGGAAGTTTAAATTCCAATAAGTTAAAAGATCTTCTTAAACCTCTCTGACATTCCTTCAAAACCCAGAAGGACCGTAACCTTTATCTGTTCTAAAAGTTAAAACAGATTAATTTATTCTAAGCCTAAAGACAAAACCGAGATTCACCAACCTGAAAAGAGTATAAAACAAATTTTCAGAAAGATTAAGGTAATTTATCAATGATTTAACTGGTACTATATACAATAAAAATTAATAGGAATCAATCTGAGGAATATAACAAATCAGAATGTAATTAATGTAGAAAATGTCTGGTACATTGTTTAAAAAATGTCACAAAACAGTATATGATAATAGGATACACACACACACATATATGTATATATATATATGTATATATATATAGATGGATGGATGGGTGTGTGAGCATATATATATTTTTAATGGGCACAGGCAAAACCTGAGACACTCCAGATACTACAGTTAACAGATAAGGATATTCAAGCAACCACCATAAAGT